TTGATTCTCTTTTGTTTGGTCGAAAAATCGTGTTCAATGAACATTAATAACAGAACAAATATATATTTCTTAAAATAAATAAATTTCTATTGAGTTGAGAGTGAAAGATTAAATATTTTTTATTCTTTTAAATCCTAATAAAATTAAAAGAGCACAAAAATCACGTTTATGATGTGATGATGGACTGACCGACCATCACCCTCGACCGCACCAGTTTTCTTCAAACTAGTAGCCAAACGAATCAAGGCATGCCACGTATGAGGGCCCACTGGTTTTCCCGTTATTCCTTTACAAGACGGCACAGCCCATATTGGTTTTCCTTTTCTATTTAATTTTTTTCGTTTCAAGACAGTGAGAGGAAGAAGGTCGTCCGACCACGTGTCCAGACATATCCCATCAGCCGTCCGATTTTAGGTTTACTTCGTCATTGCTCGGGAATTGGACGGTTGTTTTTCCTAATAAAATAATTCAAGTTGATTTATGGGCCGTTGGATATTTAATTTCACTTCGCAATGAAATGCAAGATTTCACATCATTCAATTGGAGAAATACGGAAGTAATTTCTTTATATGTCAATTTGTGATTGGTCGGAAATAGTAAAATAATATTTTTTTCGTTTCATACAAATTCTTCTGTTCTTCTTTTTCAATTGATCTTGTTTTGTCATGGACTCTTACATATTATTTATTGCAATTAGGTCTAAAATCAATGAATGATTTTATAGATAATGACTAACGGCTCTTGCAAAGCCATAAGAAAAATACTAGGTGCCTCTTTTTAGCTCTTTTGACGAAAGTGTATAGCACTTGGGAAAGAAACCTCAATAAATTTCAAGCCAACCTTTGAAAAAGAAGAAGAAGAAGAAGAAAAGAAAAAGGGGGGATGCATCGAAAATTCAGATAAATTTGCAACACAAATTAAGTCCCTTGTGAAGAAAGCAAAGCAAACCAAAGAAAGCCAAATGGGCATCTTCAAAATTCATCAAAGGATCCGTACACATAATAATTCATGCCTATACAGAGTCCAAAAAAGCTGCACTCTTCATGCATGGTGGGGCATCAACTGATAGGAAGCACTATGATTTGCCCCACTAATATTAATAAGTGAACATAAATTTTTGGACCTCTTGTAGATTCTTCTAGGTCATCTTTCTTTGTGGTGGTCGAAGATTTAGAAAGGGCTTTCTTGACAGTCTAATCTTCGGACTAACACTAGAGAATAATATCAAACTGCATTAATTAATCCTTATGTAGCACGGGTTTTGCAATTCATGTACTTATTTTATTCTGCTTTGAATCATCCGGAAAATGGATCAATAAAGACTTTCCATGGGACAATCTCATGAGTCATTTTGTGTCTCTTTCTCATCACGTGACCATAGTGAGTGAGGCGAGCGCATTATTGCCATGGGCTGCCTTATAAGCATGTTCAAGTATGTTGGGTCCATAATGCTGATGATGACATGGGTATAGCATCTGCAGTCAATTCTATATAACAAGAGGATCAAACCCAGACAAAAAATGAATGGGAAAGGAAATCTCAGATAAATCTTGTTCGATGGAAAAGCCAAGAACTTGGTCGAAAATTGAGGTAAAAGCAAATCCAAAAAGGAAATATAGTGTACAGGAAGAACATGAGCCACATGGCCAACACCACAACTCCAAAGCAGCTAAATAAACCATTCAAAAAGTAGTCCAGGGAGAAGGTATGCCACAGAAAAACAAAAAAACAAAAACAAAAAAACCCACCGTCGCTTGTATTTTGTCACCATATGGGTCACATCATAAACAAGCACATAAAAAGCTCATTACAAAGTTCAAACATATACAGAAATGCGTATCTACAGAACGATACAAGAAATTTTCACAGCTGTCGGCACCTTCATTATGGAGGTAAACAAAAAAGCTATTATGAACAGTTTTCGATCTAATGGCTATTGTAATTCAGAAAGCAGTAGACTGGTTTAAGTGAACACAATTCATAGATGTAATATTTCTAGAAGACAAAGCAGAAGACCAATCTGTCATAGTGAGAGAGCACAAATCATTTTGCTTCAGAAATCTGGTTTTCTCATTTATCCATCTGTCTCTGAATCTCTGATCCAATCAACTGAAAATTCTGTCCTTCGAAACACATGGGTTTCTATACAAAATATACATAAACCCACAACTGAAAACCTAACCCAAATGATGTACATCTGACATGAGCGCAACTCTATAGTATTTAGTAATACATGAGAAATGGGGAAACCCAGCTATGTGAATTTAAACCACTTTACAAGAAGCAAGTTGCGCTTAAGCACGGAAACCAGCTTCAATGGCTTGAAAGATTGGAGCAATGTCAAACCTGAAGTTTCTGAAACTCTTGCCAAGTCCTGTGTCAGGAGGATGAACATCAGGTTCGGGTTTAGTTGATTGGCTCTCCACTATCATGTTGCTACTCCCTATTGAGCTGTTCTTTGCTTTCCACATGCTGATTCCTAAGGAAGATGAAAACAAAGTTCATCAGGGAAGCAGAAATAAAAAAACGACAAATCCAGACTTTTATAAAGATCAAAGACAACTCACCATCAAAACAAAAATGTAAACGTGCATATCATGGAAACATCAGAGCATTCAATTTAGGTGCTCAACTATGACAAACTGTATACTAAAATATACCACTGCTATTGTATCCTATATGGATAAGAAAACCAAGATCCATTTGCAAACTATTCATGTTCATATGCTTTGGTTTTTCCAAGCTTTTGTATAATTCATCTTTCTTTTTTTTTTTTCCTTTTTTTTTAATCTCACGAGAGCTTATAGGCTACCAAAAGACTTCAAAGGGAGGTGAAGAACCTTTGAGTGGCATATCAGTTCTTGGAGCAATTGCGGACTGATGTGCTAAAATCCACGATTTCAATGATCTGTAGGAAGAAATTGGTCCTATTAGACATTATAAAAAATGTTGAAACACTTGAGAAAGTAATTAAATTTATATACCAAGACAACTTACGCTAAAAAAGGGGACACCATGTAAAGCTTGAGGCCAGTGATACCACGAGATATCACATCATTACTTGCAGGCTGAAGTTCATCCAGTCGGTGCCATGCGATTTCCTGCAAACAGATAACAAAAGCTGTGCGCTTAACCTATGATAATGTGCAGGATACAAGAGTTATGTAGTCTATCTAACGATGATGATGTCATTTATTAAAAACTAAGAGGTCACAGAGCCAATAAAAAGAAAACAAATTAAAATTTTAATTAGGAGACAAAACTCTGCAAGTTGTTCTACAAACTCTATGAAAATGTTAGGAATACAAATTTCAAAAATCCAGACCACCATGATGGTATACCATATTTTGAGTGATCAATATCTTATCCCCAAAGTATAACCTACAATGAAAACTTCAACTGGTTTTCCCTTCGAATAAATTACACCAAGAAATGTAAAATCTATGCACACAAAAAAAGTAGATAAACATTGATGCATTATAAACCCCATACACTGATCTCCTTTTTGGTGAGTGGTGCAAAGGCAGTATCCTCCCTCACACCGGCAATAATGTAGAGCCGCACCCTTTGCTGTCCAAATACGGCTTCAATGTACTCATCTTTGTTAAGTAGTTTTGTCACATCAAAACCTGTTTCTTCAAGGACCTGTGTTCACAACAAAAAAATCAGGTTATTTATAATAGAAGGGGAAGATCTGTCCAGGTTGTGCATGCCTTCAGAGGGTAAAAAAATGACGCAACAAGACCTACTGGTGTAAAGTTTCATTCATCCAGTAACTTTCCTAGTAAAATATGCAATAACCGTAGGATGATTATGTGAAACCAAACTATTCTCTCAATCCTTTCCCCAAATCTATTGCATAGAGTGAGTCCCACAACATCATCGGTCGGTCCTACTACAGGTGAGAGAGTTAGGGGAAAAGTGGGGTTCTAAAAAATTTCCTGTCCCATACAAGCTCCTAATGTGTCACAAAAGTATACAGCAAGAACATTGTTATTGAATGATATAAATCCCCAAGCCATATCACATGTAGTTTATTTTGTCAGCTCTGACTAACAGAAGGAGATCTTATTATATCAAGAAGATGAACATGGATATGCATGCACATATACGCAACATTGAACATACTAGTTGTGCACAGACCACCCACCTCTACCTTCATGACACATCGACAGTGGCATAGAGAAACATAGAGATATATCATCTATTATCTGTATAACAATTATTACGCACCTAAATAAGAACTTAGAGAGCTAAAAAAATCATTTACAATATTGTCAACTTCACTGGAGAGGGCTGTGAAATCTCACTGTAAATATCGGGAAGAAAAATTGAACTGGATTAAGAAAGAAAACTCATAAGAAATAATCTTACTTCTCGGATGGCACATGCATGGTCTTCCTCATCTTTATTCTTTTTTCCGCGTGGGAAACTCCAGCTTGATCCTTTCCATCCCTTCACGAGTATGCACTGTCAATTGGACAAATGTAAATTAGTACAAGTGAAAAATTCATACTGCTTCAAGAAAGCTCCAATAGTTGACCAATATTTTCACCTCACACACAAGTTTGTGCATGCACATAACAAGAACTTATGATATCAACCAGAAGTCATGTTTGAAAATAGTAAATGGTTAACCAATTAGGAGAGTATCCTTATGAAAACTCGTTGTGTCTAAAAAAAGGTCAATTTTTGGATTTATAGAATCATTGACAAAAATCCTTACCCTTTCATAGGTTTCATCCAAAATAATGGCTCCAGTTACAGGAACCTTAACCTTGTAAGAAGTGAAGTCCTTAAATATGTCATCTATATGGGCAACATAAGGTTTAAGAACATCACAGCTGTTAAACACTGCAATATATTAAGGAAAATAAGGATGTACTAATGAATGAAGGAGTACCAGGGGAATAACAAATAGATAAGCATGGATAAGGGGGTATGAGAGACTGAATGAAATAAACAATATGAGGTCATGTACAAAAAAACTTCAAGAGTAATATGAGAAATTATGCAAGTCCTACAAGAAATCCAGGAATAGAATGTTTTTGGTTTAGTGTGGTGACATATAAAAAACAAAAAGAGAAATTTTGACTCTGATAGCATTAATAGACTGCACAGGATACATAAGGAAGTGAATTCCTTCAAGTTAAATGACTTCAGCGATGGATTTTTCTCCACTGAGTTGTCCTCATAAAACCAATGAGCATACTCCACGAGAAATAAAATCCTCTCAAATGATTGCAGGTCTTCTTTTGGAACATTGAGAACAAACCGACTGCAAGGAAATTGGTAGAGAAAAAAATTCAGATCCATATCAAATGGACTCAGAATAACAAAGATAAATTGTCAGCAACAGGAGGCAGAGAGGAAGAAATTGGTGATTTGATAATAGATCTTGTATTAACAAAATGAAATAGAGATATATAAATGAAAATCTTATTGCATTATAAATTACACAGTCCACATACTTTCAAAAATCAGCTTATAATCACTTATTCAACCTATGATTCAGCACGACAAAGAGAGAAGAGAAGAGGAAGACAATAACTGAATAGGAAAAGAGAATGTATTCTTGCACACCTGCAGAGGTCGTCGAGCAGTTCTTGGGGAGGAAGACCGTTCTTCAGTGGAGCACTGGAGGACCGAGGGAGGCCAGACATGGCTTCCCTGTTTGATCCCTGTTTGGTTTCTGATAGTCACAAGCAAACCAAATGTAAATGTGAGTAAATCAGGCAATGCTCCAAGTTTCAAAATAGGAAATGCGCCCTTAATTGAAGATACTAGTAATGGCTGATGGGCATTAGGCATACTTCATATTTGCCTTGGTAAAAAAGAATTGTTTGAAAAAATGCACTAACACCCTACAACAACACACAAAATCATGTTTACCATCTCTAGAAACACTCCCTCATGACATTTATGAAATTACTGGCAGTTATTTTTCTTTGGGTATAAACCAATTAGCCTTTTCATGCGTTCATCATACAATTATAGACCAAATTGAACAATTATAATACTGGAGATCAATTTTCGTAATGAGAAACAACATTTTTACTGCCCGGAGCCCTAGATTTCAGTACAATCACCTAAGTAAGCTAAGCCAAGTGAAGCTGATTTATACAACCAAGATTCAATCAATATATCTTTATCATCAAATCGACTTGGCAAAATATATGCAATGGGAAGTCTCGTTTAATCACCTCAAAGCCACTCAACCTAGAATTCCCATCTCTCAGAATCGTAAGAAACTTCTACACCACCAGCCCAGTGCTTATGAAACGTCGACGTTACAGTGGTCGAGATCTCGCTCCAGTAAACGAACCCAAATCGAACAGAGAGGGATTAAGGGCATTCAAGGAAAAAAGATTATACCTTGCTCAGTTTCTTCGAGGGACTTCTGGTCTCAATTGTTCAGTTTCTGCGAGGGACTTGAAGAAGATTTCTGAAGCTGGAAACTGTGGGAGTGGTAAAGCCCAAAAGACTACACTTTACTATGTCCCCATTTTTATTTTATTTTGCGTGTTAATTTTTTATTGTCTAATCTTTTTGTAATTTTTAAAACCAAATTTATTCTTTAAAAATAGAAGAATCCACCTTCAAGTTTCAACTTCCCTCCCTTCAAATTTCAATCATGGCCAAGGGCAGCAATGACAAATAAAAAAATAAATAAAATTATTTTTATATTTTTATATTCTTCTATCATCATTATTTGTTTATAGTGAATCATCCCATTTTTATGATGGAAACTGTGTATTCTTTATCGACATAAAAAAATAAAATAAAAAGTTTATTCTTTACAATTAAAAGAAAAACTAAAAACATGATTTTATTGTAAGGCTGGCATATTATTCTTTACAGTTAATCGTGTTGGGTTGTAAACAAGTTATTCATGTTAAACCCAAACATCACCAATTCAATCTGATTAACAAATATATTGCACTTGTCTGATTAATAAACAGATTATATTTGTCATGTAACGTTACACGTACAATAATCATGTCGTGTTCGTGTTGAAAATTGTTTATAACTTGATTGTCTTAGGTGGCTCATGACTCGGTTGGGTTCATAATCATCTTGAAAAGCTTGACATGTATGTAAACAAGCTTGACATTCTTCTGTATTAAATTTGATCTTAAATAACTTAAAAAGCAATAGGTTATGGTGTGCAAAAGATATAATTCCATATGGAAAATCTATCATGCGTATACAAAAGATGATGAAACAGCCAAAAACCACCTGAAGAAATTCTGCCAAAAACCTAATGGGAAAAATCCCTTTGAACCTTCAATGACTTGACTTGGATGCCAACGTCCAGAAATTCAGAACAAATGATGATGAAACAGCAAACCAACTCAGAAAGGCCATAGCTATAGATGCCTGATACCTTGTGCAACGATCACGTACACAAGAGTGAAAATCATTGCTGTCGAGGACTGAGATACCAGCAGATGCAGAAGCTGCGGCAAATGTGATTGTGGAACTGATCTGCAGTTAGGATTAAGAAAATGTAAGAAATGAGTTGATACAAATATGCAAACGGCATGTGCCAATGCATTTGTCGTTGGCTCAATAGTTCCTAAAGCCATAGCTATATGGCCCCTTCTGACCAGAGATATCATTTCAAGCCCGAAAGAAAGAACATGGAAATCATTTCCCTCTTACCCTTCCCAAACAAAGGGAGTTGACCCCATTAAACTTGTCATCCATTCGAAACTACGATATCAATTCTCAGAAGTAACACTAGGTTTACACATGATAATTAGTTAGAAAGGCTATCAAATAGTATCCCTCTCTCACATTCAACGGACCTTTGAATCATACCATCAGAAATTTAGTCTAGCACTTGTTAAGCTTATTCTTCTACAAGGTGCCTCCCAGATGCACAACTAGTGACCTGAAAAACCATAACTGAACATCTATATCCATGCACAAAGACTTTTGATGCCTGGAAAATAACTTAACTAGTTCCATTCAATTTGATGCAGAAGCTGGTAAAGCCTGCATTTTAAAACGAAAAGTATATTTTGACTTTCTTCTATACTAGACAACACGACCATAGACGACTAAAAATAGTCCCTAATTACCATTTGGATGCAAATAATTTCCATTATCCAATTCCAATATGTATAGCATCGAATATAATTTGAAAAAAAGTAGAGACAAGACATGATTACAGTAGTTAGTATCAGAAAATTTCCATGGTTTCATAAGCCACTCAACCATGGCTTCCTCTCCTTTTCATAATAGAAGCTTAATTTGTTAAAACTCCAAAGGAACTGTTTCTTACCCCATCACCAACGGCAAACAAGCTGACAACTTTGGGATTTCGCAATCTGCGCTTCACTAAAATGGCATATAAATCAACGAAGGCAAGAGAAAGGCTCCATAAGCATTGCCAGCTGACAGCATTAACAAAGTAGCTGAAACACCAAACGCCAACCATGGACATGTTATGATACGAAAACGGAGAACAGAGAATCAAGTGATTCCACTCCCCATTTAAAACTAAAACAGCATAATATTACTTCTCCGGGCATCATGAAGATATTTTCAGCGGCAGAAAAAAGTGTAATTAAAGTAACTGGTGGCTTCAGAAACATTAGACATAACAGAGAATTAATGCATACCAATTCCTCTTTTCTTTCTTTTCATGAATCAAAGCGTTTTGACAGGAGTTGTGGTGTGTTTGATTGAAATGTAAATCACCCTTCTCTCAAGAAAAAAGTTACCGACTTTAATGTTTGTAAAAACGAACATAATGCATTAAATCCACAACAACAAGCAATTTAGCATTTGGCAGAAATCCCACACTCCAAAAGCAGCAAACCAAAAAAGATCACAACAAACCCAATGAAGCAAAACAAGGAAAATCCATGGCAGGAGCAAAATCAATGCATCATACGACAGAAGCAGGAGAACCCAGTAAAAATTACACATTTAAAATCGAATAGAACCAGAGAGATCGATAGATACCGCAAGATGGTGTATTTGGAGGTTGCATGGGTGGAAGCCATGACGCAGCCGGCGACGAGTGCGAAGACGAACTGGTTGAGGCGCAAGGTCAGGCCTCCACGTGTCCCCGGCATGCCCGGTATGTCGTTCATTCTTCCCTGAGGCATCGGGTTTTGGGGCTCTCCATGGGTCTGCGGCGGTGGCGCTTCTACTGGGTGCACAGAAGGGCAAGTGGCGTTCACCATATTTTGCTTTTAATTGTTCAGTCTTCAGAGTAGCCAAAGCTCACTCCTTTACCGTTTCAGACAGGACGGAGAGACGACAGGGTTTACAAGCGTCCTCCTTTTTCTGCGTCTTGTTTTCTCTGCTTGCTTGTGGAAGGGTTTAAAGCTATTTGACAAATGAAAGAGAGTGTTTCTTTTCAATTGCTTTGGCTATAAAAGTGCTTTTTTTTAGAGAAGCACATTTATGAATCAATTTCTAGAGATCACTTGTATTTGTAATACCAATTTCAAAAAACATTAATAAAAGTGCTTATTCTGTAGAAGCAGTCCTAAAGAGGAATTCCTTATCCTAGCAGTCCTATATATGGATATATTCAACATATCAATTCATATCCAATTACCATTAAATTAAAAGTTTGTCCCTTTATAGACCTAGACACGATTAAAATGTTGTCAATATCAATTATAGACCTACGCACACAAGTTTGAATCTCCTCCCTATAAATTAGATCAATATAAAATTATTTACTTTTAATTGTATAAACAAATGCCCACTAATATGTAAGTTCATAAGGAATACATCAAAAAAAAAATTTTAACAACACTCATCGAAGCCTATAGTATGTATAAAACTAGAGTACTACTAAACGAACCCTAAAATTAAATAAGTACACCCTACTACCAAAGTATTTATTGAATTACTAATTTACCCTAAAATAAAATGACTAAAAATGATATATTAAATTGTGAAACAAATAATTTTAATAAGTACACTATATCCAACCTTCCCTATCTAAATGCTCGAAAATGAATCTTGAAATCAAGGTAAGATGATATGATATTTATCGAGCTTTTACAAAATCGCTCTCATCAATCCTCTCCTCTCCTCTCTAGCCACATTGGTTTTTTTCTTTTGCTTCTTGTTTTTACGACTAATATTCAACTTGCAAGAAGGATGCCTACTTATCAAGGATGCCTATTTCTATTATAAACTCATGGTATCAAAGTGAAGGCTATATTAAGTCAATGGCTATAAACTCATGGTATAAACCCAAGGCATTGAGAATTGGGGCCAAGTGCCACTCCTGGCTATACTCCTTCGTTTATAATGGATATGGCAGATGCAATAATAGAAGTCGTACCACTGGCAAAAACCATGTCAACCCCAAAGATTGGCTCAGAAGAAGTTGATCACGACCTTGCGACATATGCCATCAAAATTGTCTTTGGTTCCTTTTTGGCATTTATTTTGTTTTTTTCACCAAAAATGATTGAGGCATTTAGCAACCACTTGATTTAAGGAATATACAATATTTTACTAGTCTTAACTTATATATCTTCCTTCTAGTGTTGATGGGTTAATAAAGTCGATCTTCTGAGTTTCATCTCTCGGATAACAAGGAAGCTAAATATAGAAAACAAAATCAACTAATTAGATCAAGCCCATAACCTAGACATGGTAACCATTAACATGTAAATCCTCGACCTACAATCTCACCAACACAAAACCAGGCAAAGCATTCCAAGTTAAACAGGACAGCTATCCCGGCATCCTCCACCCTCAACTCCTGCATGTTTTTCCATAGTTGTTTAACATAATCAACCTCGGCGGCTTTGGTGGGTTAAGCAGCAAGTTTGGCAGCAAGGTGGGTTTGGTGTTTGTTATAAAGTGTATTAGGGTGTTCCAGGGATATCTTTGGTAGTTAAATAGGATATACTTACTTAATTTTTACATTTTGATTAAAATATTAGGGTGTAATTAGATCATAGGGTGTACTCAGTTAATTTTAAGGTTCGTTTAGCCACACTCTAAAACTATACAAAAAAAATCATATCATTATCATCCAATCAAATTAACTTTACCTTGTAATAACTTTTTCTTTCTTTTGAGCAAGGAATTGCAGGAGAAATAGGAGTTACTTTAAACCCAAAAAAAATCTAGTTCAATTAAGAGTTTCTTTTTTTAGCTCAAATATGCAACTGAGGAGATGAGTGCTCCATTCTCCCTATTCTTGATCACTCTTATAATAAAAAAAATATTGATGACATATTTATTAATTCGTAAATGGGTGAGAAGTAATTGAATTGATGAGGAGTTGGATTGAAAAGAAAAATATAGTTGAAAATCATAGAATACAAATCATAATCAAATTATGAAATTGATATCGTAGTTCATATTTCACTAATTAAATACATCGAATTCGGATCTTATAAGGATTAAAATCCTGTCCGCTTGAAGAGTGTCACGTTCAATAAAAAAAAGGATATCTGACTTTTAGATTTATAGAGAGTACCGAGTAGAGTACAAAGT